AAGGCCTTTGAGATATCAATATTAACCTTCATAGGTGGATAAATCTCACTCGAGGGGTATGCAGTACACAAGAATGTTAATTATTCTGCTCTACTACATATAAACATGGCTCTTGTAACAAGTTACATGATTATGATATTTTAAAACCTTCTGAACAAGTTAGCATGTCAATTCAAAACAATGCTATTTGGAGATACCTTATCAATATATTTAACTGGGTTTTTTTTGTTGTTTTTTTTTGTGGGGGGTTGTTTTGTTGTTTTGTTTTTTTTTGTTTTTTTTGTTGTTTTTTTTTTCGCCGTGACAATCATATTGCTGCATTTCCCAGCAATTTTTTACTTGTTTAATATAATTTTTAGCAAATTGTGAACCAAATTGTGAAAATGGTGGTATTTGCTCGAAGGATGATTATTGTTTATGCAAGCATTTTACATCTGGAAAACGTTGTGAAAAAGGTAATGATGATAATTTTGTATAAATTTTGGGAAAGAAATATATAAATGTCGACGTACACCATACCCGGTAGTGCATTTCTGTGTATGATATGGCTTAATTATTCTTTTATGATATCATATGGATACAAAATATCTGTAACCACTCTTTTGAAAAAAAAAATATATACAAGCGAGTTGTTATTCAGAAATTCAAATTACGAACATATCATTTTGAACGATTTTCCTGTGTTTACGAGTTACGAATAATTTGTTCCAAACTTATTTTAAGTGTTAAATATATGAAAACAATATATCACGTCTTTATTTCTAGTAATCTATTTTTTCTCATTTTTAAAACACGGAAGTGTTGTTAATTTACGTTATTTGTAATGTTTTTTTAATATATAGTTATATGTGACGATAAATGCTATGCTAATAATGGTGAATGCGTTGGTCCAGGAAAATGTAAATGCCCAGAGGAGAAATTTGGAGTTAACTGTGAAAAAAGTAAGTAAATATTGAGGAAATACCGGAATAGAGTAAGGTTATGATATAAAAGACAGTATAAGATATATAAATGATAGATTGAATCTATTTTTATAGTTGTATTTATTAAAGGGGAATAATACTAGGCTAAAATGATCATTGCTTTCTGGTCTGATTTTTATACTTTGAATTGTGTATGGAAATAAGAAATTGAGACATCAGTCGTTTTTACTTATAAACTAATACTCATGATCGTTCGGTTCTAATTAAAACTATGAAACATTGAATGATATAAAAACTAATAGCAAGTACTGTATTTATAATTTTTAGTCTCTATTTGGACGGGGGAAAATCGTTAAATGTTTACCTATAACATTTAAATAGGTTTCTGTAGACTTCCTGAAAATAAAAATATGGTGAGTTTAACAATTTAACGAAACTACTTTGCTATTGGTGAAGTGAAGCAGTTCGCGGTTTCACGTGTGACTTTGGTAATATTTTATAGTCCGATCAAGGAATAACACAGAGAACGAGCATGGTTAGATGTGATATAATAGATATTGATGTTCACAATAATGATGTAATACTTTTATAGTACTTATCAACAGCCTGTCATATTTAATATAAATGCGACAAGAAGTATACAAGATATGGAATGAAACGTAATAGTCATGCAACGGTGTTCAAGCTAGCAAACAATAAAAAGACTGAGTAATTGTTATTCTTTTAGGTGTTTAAATTAATTTACGTTCTTTAACAATGAGGTGCACTATACAGGAATGAAATGGAGATAGTACAAAGCTGGATGATTTGACGGGCCGCCAGACAAGTCTTTAAATATTGTTTTTTCATTGTATGAGTCTCAATATATCCCGTTATATACCTATCCAATGTGAATAATTAGTTTGCTCTGTATCAAAATTATTTTGGCGAAATGAAATATGTGACATAAAATCATAATCATTATGACATGACCATGTCAGATATACTGTACAACAGCCAATTTGTTTCTGCTAGACGGCTTCAAAGCTCTTAAAAGAATCTATATGGATATTGTTAGAGATAACGATTTTAATCGCTATTGTTGTACGGTAGCTTGCGCCCATGAACATGCCAGTTAAACCCTTGTCTGCAATATTTTCAATTTTTAGAGGTCCCGGGTTTTCTTTGAAGATTTAAATTTTCATTATTTTATACAAAATTGTTTGAGACAAGAGGTTTAAGAGATATTGTCAATAACGCTGTTATTCTCGCATCCACTGCATGCTCACACTTTTTCCTATAATAAAGGAATACAGCTGCGTAACTGCATCAAACTGTAACCCTCGTGCTACATATTCCCACACGGCAATGACGTCATTTAAAAAAGGAACTTGCGTTTTATGGATGTCATCACCATTTCAAATATAAGCAGAAAACCTTCTCTAATATGAAGAAAATATCTTCTTTATCGATCTTATTTTCTTTTATTCTATTTACCAGACTTTTTTTTAAGATGTAGTTTTCATACTGTTATTTGAATTTGAAATTTGTAACGGAAATATGCGAAATGCGTATAGAATAAGTGACAGCTACATGCTACGAGAATCGAACCGACGAACAGGTATAAAAATAAGATTCTATTTGAACACATTTGAATACACATCAAAAGGCAACTATCAAAATTAACTTAAGAAAACAGCTACAATGTCGGACTATGAGCACTTATCATCCCCCAAATGTCGAGCTGTTTTGAGTTATAGTCTCAACAAAATATATGTACAAATTGTGTTCATCAAAAATATTCCTAAAGAAAATGCTTGTGAAGTTTCCAGTTGATATCTGTGACAAGTGTCGCTGTCAATAAAAAGAAGGTGACATATGTGAATAACATGAGTAACAATTCTTCTATACTAATTCATTTTATATTTGCAAAAGCAAACAACATTTGACATAACAAAACTGATCATATTCAAAACATTTGCCATGTATCTCGGCTACCAAACTGTTTATATAGTCCATGTCCCATCCAGTTTAAAGTCTTGGAGACAATTATCTAAATTTAATACCATAAACAATTGCAACAATTGTTTTTTCGAAACGTATACAAAATAAAAAAGTCCACCCACTTTCTCACAGCATTTGGGCTACTAATGACTAATTGATTAGTCCAGAAATATTTTTTTGCTTGGTTTTGTGTTGAATTTGTAGCTGATAGTGACTGAAGTCAGAAATTAAACAACAACATCATATAATATTTTTTTAATTGTTTTTGTTTGAATATTGTTTTACAAATGTAACCACTATCACCTCAAACATGAACTAACTCTAGTATTTGAAACTAACAAAAAAAACTAAAAAGCAATGGATATGGTATAATGGAATTCATTTATACATTTGACGAAAAGGTTTATAGCTTCTTTGTTATTAAAATAAAACTAATATTATATAGGAATCGAAATGTTAAAATGATGCCTACTTTTCTGGTGTCACATTGAAACTATAACTATTTTTGTAAGGTGTTATAATTTCAGTATTAACAATATATTCTATCAATTACTCGGAAATAGTTGCAAAAAAACTTGCAATGCATGGAGTGTATGTTATAATTTAATAATAAAAATAGAATAAAAATCAAAACGCCATTCCAAATATTTTCGAACATATTTAAGATACATGTTATAAGTCTATAATGGGATTTTTAAAAGAAATACTTTAATAAGATTTTTACAAAAATATCAAAGAAGATAAAGATCTGTGACATTTATAAGTGATTCACAGTTGTTAATAGAAATGTCGTACCAATCGGGAAATTATACAAAGTTGATTTCTTTTCCTTTTTTTATGAATGAATTTAATTGTAGAAAAATTGCCTATGACGTTTTGTTTTATCCTGAAATAAATCGCAGACTAGTTGTTTAATTTTCAAAAGGCCGTACATCATTGTTAATTCTTATGACTAAATTATTTCTGCAACTGATATGTTTGAATTGTGTTTGAATTCAGGCAATATTTTTTATTGTTCTAATGAATGATTCGTAATTCGACGTCGTCTACATAAATTCATTGTGTTTTTATGTATTCATAAAGATGTCAAATTGTTTTGTTCTTTTTTCTGCTTTCATAATACTAATCATCTATTTTTGCATTTAATTTCTTGATAGTGACACATTATTACTTTTAACCAGAAATATTTTGAAATAACATAAAGATAACTTTCCAATTCTTCGGAAATAAGAACTTTGTAACAAAACATTATTAACATTAACATTAACGCCTCGCATGATATTCAAACTTATATCTACCGATTTACGTACAAGATTACCAAACCCACTAAACACCTGTGTCACGAAGTCAAATTTATGATGGTACATGTAGTATACATTGTACAAAAAAGTCATATCTTTATTTAATTGGCCCTATTTCAAGACCCATACAAGGGAGATGTTAACTTGTTTACAGTTAAAGAAAATAATTGCATACTGTAGCTTTTAAAACAAGAATTAAAATTGAGATATGAAAGGTATTGATTGTATTCAAATTTACAGGTTTGATATACAAAATCATCTTTAGCTCGATTATGTTAATGTGTTTGGAATTTGTTGGTTCTTGCAAAGCCGCCACATTAAACGAGTATTAATTGCAGAGGTTAAAGCATAATAGTATACAATCATTTCGACTTTTTTAGGTTATTAAATAATGTTTTTGATTTGTGTTTATGCAGGTCATTGTAAAGTGCCGTATGAGTTTGACACACGTCTGTCAATTTCTGACAAATTTCATGTAAGTCTCTCTGGAGGTTCTGTTGTTGAGGTGGAGGACTATGTTTACTTCAACTGTTCAAAGGCGGTGGAGGCTATGCACGAACCTGTAAATAGAAGATTCAAATGTATAAACGGCGAGTGGATTGAGGATGAACGAGATAAATCATGGCAGTTTGGAAATAACGGGTCTTTTCCAAAATGCAGAAAAAGTAAACACATTCCTTGATTGATAAGTTTTTTTTTATTTCTAATTATATCTCTTGGCCTTTGTTAAGTAGCTTAACATATTGTATTTAGGAAACATACACCAACTTTAAGTTCGTTATTGTGGTAATGCATGGTTCAAGTGCGCAGAAACTTTGATATTGTTTTCTCTTCTAACATGCTTGCAGGAAATATGTTTAACAACATTGAGTAGTTTATATTACGTCATATCTGTAATTAGGTGACTGGTAAGTATCAATGCATAACTGCATATTCAACTGTTCTATACATATCTATTGTGGGGTGGGCGTGCGTTGTAAAGTGTGTTGAAATTAATCAGGCGACACCTATATTGATAGATTTAAATCATACCAAGCTTTAATCAAGAATGAACTTCACACAATTGTTAATGTTCATCTCTATATTTTATGTTGACTTATTTTGGGGATTATGCGCCGCTTTTCATGGAACGGCACTACTGTGTCACATTGAGGTTTTATGATAACTGCCTTATGAACACAACTGCGGATATTTCTAAGTTAAAAAATAACCCTTTGTGTGCTTAAATGTTGAATTTTGCTTAAGCCGGAGGCAGGGGACGTGGACGGTCACTTGCAAATTTCCAGTACCGTCCATAAACAGGCTCAATCAAACCAAGCCTGCAATATTTTCAATTTGAAATATTTGCAGCGTTGGGATTTCTGAAGAGATTCTGGTTTTCTCTATTTTATAGGAGATGAGTTTTGTTTGTTTGTTTGTTTGTTGGCTTGTTTTTTTTTTTGGGGGGGGGGTATTTTTTTATATTCAAGACTATGCATGTTTCTTTTAAATATACACTTTATCAACCCGTAGGTAAGTTACTGCCAATTGGTTATGACATTAAACTGCTATAAAAAGGCTACTTATAAGTATAGCCTTGAGTGAAGGTCTCAATCATTCATTAATTGAATAATTGCTTTCTTGACTCTATTGACTTATATTCAATGATTTGCATTGAAAAGTATATTATAACGATTTTCTGGTATAATATGTTAAAACATTTCATTTTCTATGATTAAAAGATTCTGTATGTTGCAATTAAAGCTGTTACCTCACTTACGTGAAATTTCATATATGTAAATAATTATCCTTCTAAAAGCAATGTTCAAACGCCGAAGACTATGCAAAATATGAACTGCCCAATATATGTAATCGTTAAAATATATGCATTCATTTTTCAATGCCAAATTTGACTAAGATTTTATAGAAAATAAATTTGTAATAACCTCCCTTTATAAACCTGAAATGTAAATGTAATATCCTTACAAATAATGCTTTTTGGAACTTTGATAAATCCTCATTTGAGCATAATATTTATGATATTAAACAAAATATGTATTACAGCATCTTAAGATATCACAATTGATGTTATGAACAGAATCAACCCCATAGTTTTAAAATAACTTTATATAAACAAGGAAACATTTACTAATCGATAACTTTACAAGCTTTATTTTTTTGACTCTCCTGCAAGGCTCGTTAAAAGACATAAATTACCCTTTTAATTTATTTAAGGATCAGTAGGTCAATGATCAAAGACGGTAAAAAAGCATTACCGGAACACGCTTCCTCTTTGGTCAAGAGATATAAATTATTGATCACAATAACAAAACAAACACATATATTTAACAATTATGTATTGCTATCTATATATATTAACACAGCTGATTTTTTCTCATGAAATATTTAATAAAGCGGAATGTGATGTATTTTAGCAAAATGTGAACCGAATTGTGAAAACGGAGGTGTTTGTTTGAGGGATGATCAATGTAAATGCAAGTATTTAACATCTGGAAAACGTTGTGAAAATGGTAATGATGATTTCGTTTATATTTTGGAAAATAAAGATATAAATGTTAGCGTACACCGTACCCGGTAGTGCATTTTTGGGTACAATATAGCTTAATTCTTCTTTTAAATTATGATGTCATATAGATACAAAATATCTTAAACCACTCTTTTGAAAAAAACATATCCAAACGAGTTTTTATTCGGGAATTACGAACATTTCATTTTGAACGATTTTCCTCTGTTTACAAATTAAAAATATTTTGTTTTCAAATCTATTTAAAGTGTTGAATATATGGAAACAATCAATTAAGTCTTTATTTCGAGAAATCTCATTTTACCCATATTTAAACAGGGCAATGCTATTAACTTTTGTTATTTGTCATTCATTTTAAAATATAGTTATATGTGACGATAAATGCTATGCTAATAATGGCGAATGCGTTGGTCCAGGAAAATGTAAATGTCCAGAAGAGAAATTTGGAGCTAATTGTGAACAAAGTAAGTAAATATTCAGGAAATACCGGTATACTGTAAGGTTTTGATGATATAAAAGATAGTATAAGATATATCAATGATACTGATTGAATATATTATTATGGTTGTATTTATTTGAGGGGAATAAAACTAGACTGATATGATCATTTCCTTCTAGTCTGATTTTATACTTTGAGTTGTGTATAAAAATTAGAATTTGAGACATCAGTCGTTTTTACTTATAAACTAATAATCATAATACATTCAGTTCATATTAAAATATGTAACATTGAAGGATATAAAAACTAATAGCAAGTACTGTATTTATAATTTTTAGTCTCTATTTGGACGGGGGAAAATCGTTAAATGTTTACCTATAACATTTAAATAGGTTTCTGTAGACTTCCTGAAAATAAAAATATGGTGAGTTTAACAATTTAACGAAACTACTTTGCTATTGGTGAAGTGAAGCAGTTCGCGGTTTCACGTGTGACTTTGGTAATATTTTATAGTCCGATCAAGGAATGAAACAGAGACCGAACATGGTTAGATGTGATAACATGTTTGTTAAAATATGCATGTGTGTATTGTATTTAAGTAAAATGACATTGAAAAGGAACCATTTTAGATTCAAGATTGTTTTAATACTTAGACGCGTATAAGAAGAATTTAAACTATTTAAAAAGCTCAAAAGGCATGGTGTAGGAGCAAGTGTAGATGTAGAAATCAAACTTTTATTAGTTGTGTCTACCTGATTCATTCTTGAAGTTATTACAAAACACATTTAGTGTTAGCTTAGTATTAGTTAGGTAAATTATATTTGATAAGCTTAAAAAATCTATATAATAAATATTGATGATCGCAATAGTGATGTACATGTACGTATATATAGTACTTTTCAACATCCAGTCATATTTAATATAAAAGAGACAAGGTGTTTACAAGATATGGAATGAAAAGTAACACCCATTCACATGTAACTAGGTACAAGCTTGTAAACAATGAAAAGACTGAGTAATTGATATTTTATATGTTTTTAAATTGATATACATTATGTAACAATAAAGGCAAGAATACATTTATGAAATAGAGTGATTACAAAGCTGGAGAATTGGACGGGCCACAGACGGGTCTTCAAAAATTGTTTTATCAGTGTACGGGTGTTTATATACATTGGATGTATATATATTGTTATAGATAACGACTTTAACCGCCTTTGTTTCTTTAATACATGTAATAAGGTAATACACACTTAACTGTCCAATACGTGATATTTCTAAAGGATGCTTTATCGGCCAATATTGGAATATCTTGAAATGCTAAATGATTTAATTTGAAAACAGCATTTAGATATTAAAAACTGATAAAGAATGAAAGTGCCTTAGGCGTGGACGGTAGCTTGCGCCCACGAACATGCCAATTTCAACCTGGTCTGCACTATTTTCCATTTTGATGTCTTTCATTTATTTATAACAAATTGTTTGAGACATGAAGTTTTAGAGATATTGTCAATAAAGCTGTTATTCCCGCACCCATTGCATGCTTACACTTGATGTTTTGAGTTATCGTCTCTTGTATATATCTCTGCAAATTATGTTCATAAAAATATTCCTTAATAAAATGTTAATTAAGTTTCAAGTTGAAATCTTAAAGTGTCGCTGTCAACCAAAAGAAGATTGCATATGTGAATAACATGAGTTACTATTCTTTTATGCAAATTCATTTTATATTTGCAAAATCAAACAGCATTTGACATAACAAAATTGATCATAGTCAAAATGTTTGCTACCTCGGCTGATAAACTGTTTATACAGTCCATGTCCCATTTAAAAATGTTGGAGAAAATTATTTAAATTCAATAACATAAACAATTGCAACAATTGAAAACAAATAAAAAATTTACACCCGCTTTCCCATAGATTTTGGATCACTTACGATTTATGAATATGTTCTTGAACAATTTAACCTGTTTTGTTAAATCTGCAGCTTATAATGAATGAGGTCAGAATTTTAACAAAAATTATACAATAATTTTCGATATGTTAGTCTCTCTGTATATATATAGGAATAGAAATGTTAAAATGATGCCTAACTTTTCTTCAGTTACAGTAAAACTATAACTTTTTTGTAGGTGATATGATTCCAATATTAAGATTGTACACTATCAATAACCCGGAAACAGTTACAAAAAAATTTTCAATGCATGGAGTCTTTGTCATAATTTAATAATAAAAATATAATAAAAATCAAAACGCCATTCCAAATATTCCCGAACAAATTTAAAATACATGTTATAAGTCTATAGTGTTCTTTTTAAAATAAATACTTAAATAGATGTTTACAAAAATATCAAATAAGACAAACAACTGTGATACTTATAATTGATGCACAGTTGTTAACAGAAATTTCGAACCAATAAGGAAATTATACACAGTTGATTCCTTTTCCTTTTTATGAATGAATTTAATTGTAAAAAAATGTCTCTGACGTTTTTTTTATCCTGAAATAAATGGCAGACTAGTTGATTAATTTTCAAAGGCCGTACATCATTGTTAATTCTTATGATTAAATTATTTCTGCAACTGATATGTTTGAATTGTGTTTGAATTCAGGCAATATTATTATTGTTCCAATGAATGATCCATAATTAGGCTTCGTCTACATAAATTAAGTGTGTTTTTTATGTATTCATAAAGATGTTAAATTGTATTGTTCTTTCTTTCTGTTTTCATAATACTTATCATTCATTTTTGCTTTTAATTTCTTGATAGTGACACATTATTACTTTTAACCATAACATTTTGAAATAACATAAAAAGCACTTTCCAATGCTTCAGAAATAAGTACTTTGTATCAAAATGATATTAACACTTCTAGAAAAATCCCGCCTCGCATGATATTTGAACTTATATCTAACGATTTACATACAAGACTACCAAACCCACAAGACACCTGTGTCACGAAGTCAAATTAATCATGGTACATGTAGTATACATTGCACAAAAAGACAATTCTTTATTTAATTGGCCCTATTTACAGATCCATACAAGGGAGATGTTACCTTGTTAACAGTTAAAGGAAATAATTGCATACTGTAGCTTTTAAAAAAGAGTAAAAATTGAGATATGAAAGGTTTAATTGATTGTATTCAAATTAACAGGTTTAGTTCGATTATGTTAATGTGTTTGGTATTTGTTGTTTGTTGCAAAGCCGCGTCATTTAAAACGAGTATTAATTGCACAGGTTAAATGTTAATAGTATACAATCATTTCGTCTTTTTTAGGAGAAAGCTTATTAAATAATGAATTTGATTTGTGTTTTGTCACATAATTTTTTGCAGATCATTGTAAAGTGCCGGATGAGTATGACACACGTCTGTCAATATCTGACAGATTTCATGTTAGTCTCTCCGGAGGTTCTGTTGTTGAGGTGGGGGACTATGTTTATTTCAACTGTTCAATGGCGGGAGATGATATGCACGAACCTGTAAATAGAAGATTCAAGTGTATAAACGGCGAGTGGATTGAGGATGAACGAGATAAATCATGGCAGTTTGGAAATAACGGATCTTTTCCAAAATGCAGAAAAAGTAAACACATTCCTTGATTGATAAGTTTTTTTAATTTCTAATTATATCTCTTGGCCTTTGTTAAGTAGCTTAACATATTGTATTTAGGAAATATACATCAACTTTTAGTTCGTTATTGTGGATAATGCATGGTTCAAGTGCGCAAGAAACTTTGATATTGTTTTCTCTTCTAACATGCTTGTAGAAAATATGTTTAACAACATTGAGTAGTTTATATTACGTCATATCTGTAATTAGGTGACTGGTAAGGATTCATGATTTTTATTCAATGTCAATTTCATATTCAACTGTTCTATACATATCTAACGTGGAGTGGGGCGTGCATTGTAAAGTGTGTTGAAATTAATCAGGCGACACTTAGATTGATAGATTTAACTCATACTAAGCTTTAATCAAGAATGAACTTCACACAATTATTAATATTGATCTCTATATTTGATGTTGACTTATTTTGGGGACCATGCGCCACTTTTCATGGAACGGCACTTCTGTGTCACATTAAAGGTTCTATGATAACTGCATTATAAACACAACTGCGGATAATTTTTAGTTCAAAAGTCACAATTTTGTGCTTAAATGTTGAATTCTGCTTAAGCAGGAGCCAGGGGACGTGGACGGTTACTTGCCCTTTTTAGTACAGTCCATGAACTGGTTCAATCAAACCAAGCCTGCAACATTTTTAATTTGAAAAAATTGCCGCGTTGGGATTCTTTCTTAGGGATTCTGGTTTTCTCTTTTTCATAGGAGATGTTTTTTTTTTACTTTCAAAACTATGCATTTTTATTCTTAATATACACTGTATCAAACCGTAGATAACTTACTGCCAGTTGGTTTAGACATTAAACTGCTATTAAAAAGGCTTCTTATAAGTTTAGCCTTGAGTGAAGGTCTAAATCATTTATTTATTGAATCATTGCTTTCTTGACTCTATTGAACTTATGGTTTTTCCACGATTTGCATTGAAAAGTATATTACAATGATGTTCTGGTATAATACGTTAAAATATTTCACTTAATATGATTTACAAATTCTGTATGTTGCAATTAAAGTTGTTACCAAACTATAGTGAAATTTTATATATGTATATAATTATCCTTCTAAAGCAATGTTAAAAAACCGAAGAATATGTAACATATGAACTACAAATATTTGTCCACAATATATGTAATCGTTAAAATATATGCATTTAGTTTTTAATGAAAAATTTGACTAAGACTGTATAGAAAATAAATTTTTAAAAACCTCCCTTTATTAACATGAAATGTAAATGTAAAATCCTTACAAATAATGCTTTTTGGAACTTGATTTTTCTATAAATCCTCATTTGAGCATAATATTTATGATATAAAACAATAAAAATGTATTACAGCAACTTAAAATATCACAATTGATGTATGGACAGAATCAAACCCCCATTGTTTTAAAATAACTTTATATAAACAAGGGAAAAATTACTAATCGATAACTTTACAAGCTTTTTTTTTTGGTCTCTCCTGCAAGGCTCGTTAAAAGACATAAATTACCCTATTTATTTATTTAAGGATTAGTAGGTCAATGATCAAAGACGGTCTAAAACATTACCGGAACAAGCTTCCTCTTTGGTCAAGAGATTAAATTATTGATCACAATAACAAAACAAACACATATATTTAACAATAATGTATTGCTATCTATATATATAAAGACAGCTGTTTATTTCTCATGAAATATTTAATAAAAACGGAATGTGATGTATTTTAGCAAAATGTGAACCAAATTGTGAAAACGGAGGTGTTTGTTTGAGGGATGATCAATGTAAATGCAAGTATTTAACATCTGGAAAACGCTGTGAAAATGGTAATAATGATTTCGTTTATATTTCGGAAAATAAAGTTATAAATGTTAGCGTACACCGTACCCGGTAGTGCATTTTGGGTTACGATACAGCTTAATGCTTCTTTTAAATTATGATGTCATAGATACAAAATATCTTAAACCTCTCTTCTGAAAAAGACATATCCAAACGAATTTTTATTCGGGAATTACGAACATATCATTTTGAACGAATTCCTGTGTTTACGAGTTACAAATAATTTGTTTTCAAATCTTTTTTAAGTGTTAAATAATATGGAAACAATCTATCAGGTCTTTATTGTGAGTAATCTCTTTTAACTCATTTTTAAACACGGCAATGTTATTAACTTATGTTATTTGGCATTCATTTTCAAATATAGTTATATGTGACGATAAATGCTATGCTAATAATGGCGAATGCGTTGGTCCTGGTGAATGTAAATGCCCAGAGGGGAAATACGGAGCTAACTGTGAAAAACGTAAGTTAATATTTAGGAAATAAAGCATCTGTAAAATTATAATATAGAAGACAATATAAGATAAAGCAATAACACTGATTGACTCTATAAATATCATTGTATTTATTGAGAATTGATTGATGGTTATCCCATTACCTTCTTGTCTGACTTATACGTTAAATAATGTATGGTTATAAGATAGGAAAAACAGTCATATTTACTTGTAATTATGATATATTTAGTTCAGATTTTAGAAAATGTATGAATAATGATATAAAGACTATTTACGAGTACCGTTATTATCCATTTTTGTTACTATTGTGACGGAAATATAAAACGTTAAAAGATAACTCATTAAATTTCAATAGGTGGTTGTAGGCTTCCTGAAAATGATAATATGGCGAATGTATCCACACAAAAAACCTATTTTGCTATTGGCGAAACAGTTCGCACATTTTGGTGTGATGATGGATATTTTCAATCATCTGACCAAGGAATGACATGCCGTAGTGATGGATCATGGTCAGATATAATAACATGTGAAAAAGGTATTAATACAAAATATGTTGTCTTAAATAAAAAATGTGTCCTGGAGCATACAACCACTGGTGAAACTATGCCATTTTTGCAAAGAAATTTAAGAAAAAAAGTAAATGTGGGTTTTTTTTACGAAAATCTTACATATTTTCTGTGTTAAACTTTAACATAAAACATTTCTTGTAATAGATATATACTTTGTTTATACATAGACTTATTGGTAAAATGTACATAGACTTATAATCGTACATATCCATCCATCCATTCATCCATCCATCCATCCATTCTTCTATCTACAAATTGTTTGAAAATTACTGTTTTAATCTTTATTTAGATTTTTTCTCTAAAATATCTGCATGTAAGTTATCTGCATGTAAGTAATATTTATGTATATTTCCTAAAGTTGGAGTGGTACATGCATGACCAAAATGCACAACACAACTGTACTAAAGATAGCATAATTGTACGATTATTTTTCCCGGAAAATTTTATTCTTATAACAAATTCCATACGTGTTAAATAACCGAGAGAGTCTTTGTAACAACCATTTCCAGAATCGAACATAAAACTATTGACACAACATTTATTTACCGTTTACTAACTTAATCAATATAACAGTAGATATGTTTTTACCATTTATTTACTTCTATAATGTACCTTGTGTTTTACTTATATTATATACTCTATATCTATTGAGATCTCTTCATAAGATATAAAATATCATTTCATTCCATTTATTATGTTTCATACTTTAATCAATGGTATGTATTAGTTTTATTACACATATCTTCTAATGAAGATGCATTCAACACGCCATATTGAAGTCGTATAAAATACTGAGTAACAGCGGTAACACCCTCTTGAATCTCAAAAAAACAACAACAAACAATTATATCCGAAAGCTACGGGTTATACTACAAATTAATCGATTCATTAGGGTTTATAATCCTTAACAACATCTCATCCTGCATTATCTAGAGGGCACATACCAAGATTTAAAACCTTTTAACTTATATCAATGACAATTTATTTTTCTTCTTCAAGTAGATGTGATGTTAAGTAATTTTAATATGACCGGTGTTCATTAATTTATCCAGTAAAGATAATTTTATTTTTGACTTCAAAGGTATTTTTATAATACAATGCCAGAAATAGATGTGCAAACATATGTCCTTTTTATTAAATGGTTACAGAATATGTGCAGGTAATAAAAACGTACTAACATTTTAATAGCGTTAAGTTATCACGTCACGACCATCAGTAAAATCGGTATATCTTAGACAAAACAAATGTGTAGTAGTTAAATAACTTAAATATGTGTCTACACATTTCTTTTTTACTTCTCATTAAGGTAAATGGTACATGATCAGTACGAAAACAGGAAAACGTCCCGGTGCCAGTACAGATGCCAATGTTTACATTACTCTTTTCGGCTCTAAAGGAAGAACAAGAAGAATATACTTTAAGGGGAATTTTGAACCTGATGATGTCGACGAGATCAGAACATTTGCAAGAGATGTAAGACCGGTAAGTAACATAATTATATTTGATGATTTTTTTAATAAAAAAATAAACTAAACTGAAAGTGTTGTAAAGAGTTTTTAGTTCTTGTTGATTTGCATGATGCAAGTTATGTCCTTTCTTATTATCTATAGTTTTATTTATTTGAAGCAAAAATGTTCATTTTAATAATCCTTCAAGTTAGAATTAGCCGCTGTTGATTAACATAACAATGTGCCAATGTTATCAAAGATCTCTCACATTTTTTTTAAAACACTTTTTGTAGATACAAATAGTGCAGATCGGACATGATGGTGGAGGCTGGCATAATATTTTATCTGCTTGGGACCTGGAATATGTATCAATTTATGTTGAAAATATGGAGGAATTTTATGTTTTTAGAAATATTAAACAACAATGGGTAACAGAAGGAAATGATCTGACCTTGGACAGGGAAGGTAAATATTGTAACTAGATTATAAAAATATATAGCATTTTGATATGCTTTTATTAGCCTATTTTAATTTATTTTCCTTTTAATTAAGAAAATTAACAATTTTATATGGTATGATACAGAATCGTATGTTTCCCACTTCTAAAATACTTTGGTGGAGCTGAACAATTCCTGAACAAATTCTGTTCAATATAGAAAAGTTATAAGACTTTTTATTTTAAATAGTCTAAGAAATAACTTATAACAGGATAGGAAACATTTTATTATAGTTAAACATATACGAAACATTTTGGAAGAATTATCATTGTATAGTCTATGAAACATTATGTAGAAGCCAATAAAACATTTTATAATTGCCTATAAAATATTATTAGTAGCCTATAAAACATTTAATAATAGCTTATGAAACACTATATTATAGCAGATGATAACAACCGATGAAATATCATTGCATGGCCTATAAAAAATTATACATGTACAATTATTGGTTAGTCAGTCATTGAATATGATGTGATATTCATCGGCATGTGACATATAGCCGAGGTCAGTATGATTTTCTGCCGATGAATATCACATTATATTCAATTATTGTTTTATTTTATGCAAATATTTTCAAAAGTAAATTCTTTTTAAGAAAATACAAAACGCAACTTGTGCCTTTTTACATTGAAGCACGGGAAAAAGGACGCGCTGTGTACAACATGGCGTCAGGCGTTTATCGAAGTTCTACGCACCAAAAGAAATTCAAATTTATACACAACATTGCGGTGCAACTTCTCATTATTATAATGAAGTATTGATAATTTAATCGAGAAATCTGCCATGTAAAACAAGACGCAACATTTTGTTTTGTTTTTTTGGTACGCACGCGCAATGAACTGTCCCCGATATAAGAACTTTGAGGATGAGCCTCAATCTATTGTTAGATTGGGAACACCTTATTCAGTCAGTGAATATGATACTTCACACAATGAATATGATTTTATAAATAGTGCTGATTTTTGGACCAATGAGATTTCAGCTACATTTAAGTCAAAATGACTGTTTACCGCAAATCCTTTTGTAACGCTTTTGCATTTGACGTCAATAACGTCGCGTCAATTTTTCGCTTTCTCGCCCGCTCGCTTCTTGTATGTGCGCTCGTCATTCACTGTCTTTGAATTGCTTGCGCCAGCTAAATACGATTGTCCCGATCGGCTCTTAGTTGCCCTGTGGTAATTTAATTTTTACGTAGGAAGCTGAAGTGGTATGTCCAATTTATTGGTGAATTTAACGATCGCACGAATTTTCAATATTTCAAAGAACAACATATTTTTACATTTACCCCTATGAACACCGTTGTTCAAAACTTGATAATGTAGCCATTTCATGTCTGAATAATATTAAATTTAGACATATTGTCATTTTAACTTTATTGATAGTGTTATTTGCATTTTTGTAAAAACAACCAATTATGAATGCAATAGAAGTACAACTTTGTTTCAAAAACATTTAGATGTCTTGTACCGGGTGTATGTTACCATGGTTATTCAATATCACAGGGAACACGCGTTTAACACAATCATTATATAATATTCTCTTCTAATTGTGGATAACAATTAACGACTGCAGCAAAAAGGAAAATATCGTCAAAGAAATTTGAAGATGCAAAATACATATATGGGATATTGAATTAGTGTAAATTTGATACTAAATTAATTGAACGAGTTGAAGAAAATTATATTAAAGCTGCGGTCTCACTTACTCCCGGCAAAGCCCAGGACCATCCCGGTAAGTTACCGGGATGATCCGGGGTGAAATTATTGTTGCGGTCACACTTACCCCGGCAGCTCTACAGTAGTTCCCAACTAACCACCCAGGATGCGCTCCGGATCATCCAGGCAGAGCCCAGGTGACACTTCGGTTCATGCCGGTGCTTCCCCAGTTGTTCGCGGATGACGCCGGAAGAGCCCCGGTTGACCCAGGCAGAGCCCCGGCCGATCCAGGCAGAGCCCCGGCAGAGCCCAGGACGATCCAGGCAGAGCCCCGGCAGAGCCCAGGACGATCCAGGCAGAGCCCCGGTAGAACCCCGGTGGATTGAAAACGTCCGAAAATGATAACATTGATACATAAATTTTATTTATAATAATATCTATTGTTCAAGAATAGTAATTCATGATGATTTTCTAAAAAAATTCTTATGCCATACTGGATAGAAGGGAAATGGGAAGGGTTTTAATACAAACAAGTGCAATCATCGCAAATTGTCGTTATTCTTTTGAAATGATCCGGGCTTTGTCGGGGCTCTACCGGGATCAACCGTAGCTCTACCTTTATCCTCCTGGGCTCTGCCTGTAGTTACCGGGGCTCTGCCGGCATATACCGGGACTCTACCGTAGCTCTAGCGTAGCTCTACCGCCTATATCATACCCCGGATCATCCCCGGTTTGTGCCGGCAGAGCTACGGTGCTTTCCCGGTATAACCCCGGTCGTTCCCGGCAGAGCTAAGGATAAAGCCGGCAAAGCTATACCTTCCCGGATCATCCCGGACCACCCCGGTGATATTTAATATTTTATTCCATCCGGGGTCGAATGCCGGATGTTCCCGGATCATCCCGGATCATCCCGGACGTTGCAGGCAGAGGTACGGATGTACTCCGGTTGTTCCCTGTCGTACCCCGGTCGTTCCCGGATCATCCCGGACGTCTACCGGGGCTCCGCCGGGGCTCTGCCGGGATGTAAGTGAGACTGTAGCTTAAGCGAGCCTCTTCAGTATACTGTTCAAAAGAGTCAGTTTTCGTTCATAATAATATTATTATCATAATTAAGTTATACTATAATCATAATCGCTGGTTGAAGTATCATATTTACTGGCTAAATTGGGTTTCCCAATCTAAAAAAAGATTGAGACTCATATTCAATGAGACTACGCATAAAAAGATAAGTTTCGCGTTTTTGTTCTTTATGTCATAGTTCTCGATTTAAATAACATAACTTTACTATAATAGATAAAATTTTCACCGCATTGATGTATACAGACTTAATTTCTTTTGTTTGCGCAGCGTTCGCGTAGTCGCTGAACGCCTGGCGTCAGCGTGTTTACAGTGCGTTTTCCCCGTACACCAGAGAAAACAGCTAAACTATGTGTATTGTTTTTTCCTTTAAAAGGCTTTATTTTTGTGAGTGTTTTTTAACATTTGCCTATTCATATAATAAAACAATTATTGACTAGTGAGCCATGAAATATGATGTGATATTAACCTGCAGAAAATCATGTCATCTGTCAGTGAATATCACATCATATTCAGTGGCACACCAGTCAATAATGTTATAATAATCTATGAAACATTAATAATCATATAGTCTAAAAAACATTATATAAAAGTCTATGAAACACAATACTATAGCCTATGAAACATTAAGTTAAAGACTTTGATACATTATGAATAGCCTATGTCATGGAAAATTTTGTAGTAGCCTATGAAACATTATATTATAATCTATGAAACTTAGATGATGTTCTGTAAACAAAGTATATTAGCCTATGAAACATCATAAAATAGCCTATGGAATATCATATGATAGCCTTTTAAACAATAAATTAAGCCAATTAAACAAAATTACTTTTTTCCACCTAATTTTGAAACGACGAGTTTCTTTATTGTTTCCCTTTTTAAAGTTTTAGCAGAATTGAATGATATACACACTTATCCAAATTTTTAAAACAGGCATTCGTCATATTCTTAAATAAACATAAACAAGTATCTTTATCTTTGATTTCTGTTTACATTTTTCGTTGAAGCTTCTGAAATATCGGAACAAAACAGACGTATTATAAGGATATTGTACTGAAAAAAATATATTACAATAATTTTCAAATGATAATCTTTTTGCATATTTCAGGAAATCAGTCATGCATCAACACATTCGGCGAGAAATATATGTGGTATCCTACATGGAAGAAAATCAACAGTTTTTTCCTTGGCAAAAGGTCAGGGATGAGTAGTAGAGCGTGTAAACAAGCTTGCATAAACTGGAGAAAGAACGTGTGTAGCGGAGTCTTTCGTCAAACAGAGTTTCGTAGTTGTCACGGTTTCTCTGAAACGCGTGATGAATACTTTACCGTGAAAAATGAACCTTGGACAGGAGAACTGTTTTTCAGAACATGTAAGAAGTTCACCTGAAGGGATTATACTATAAAATTGTCGTCCCGTCTTATTGTTGATAGGTCATTTTTCAAATTATGATTACATATAGAAGAAAATTGTTGATTATAGTGTATTTACTTTTCAGTTTAAAAGAAAAACTATAATTTATTCTTAGCAAAAACTGAAACTGTTTCTAAAAGTTCTTGTCACCTATATTATTTAACCTCCTTTTCACGAAACATCTAATGGAATCTATACAAGTAATCAGTTTAAAATCATTTGGTGAAAATTAAAATATTTTTTCTTATCACAACATACTTAAAGTAGACAAAAGGAAAAGTGAATTTAATAAACATGTAATTAATAATCAGTTATACTATCAGAGAAACTATGCACAGTTTTGATTCAGCACTGAGAAATTTTCTTTGACAAAGAACAAAAATACTTTTTATATACTGAAAAATTACGTTGCTGTGTTTTTTACTATTTTTTTGGTATACATAATTGTTTTTCCAAGGATGGTATAAAATTAGTCAATAGATGTGCTCTTTTTGATAGTTCTGTCCCCTTACAGCTAAGGATAAACTATGCTGTACAAAATGTAAAACATTGTCCCGTCCTTCACATGTCTGCCCATACAATTTATTCTTTCTGTAACATTATCGAATTTAATACGTTAATATTCAAAAATGCAATAAGGATTGCATATATATCATAAAATGATATACTTTGTTTGCACATGTTTTATTGAGTCACTTTTGGTTCTGGTTGACTTAATAACTCCATAATGAATTGTATTTTATTAGTTATAAATAAAATACATATATGCTTTGTCAAATTGAAGGAATTTCTTAGGAACATCTAATTATATATATTTAATACACGTGTTTCTTGGAACAAAGCGTATTATAGCAGAATACCTCTCGATTCACGCAAATTGTCTTGACAATTTTGTATTTAAAAGTAGGATATTGTGAAGGGATCAAAGACATTAATTTACACAATGTAAAGGGCGATTACAAAAACTAAATATTGGCGAATTTGTCTTTACTGCGTTACAAATACCGTAGAAATATTGTGATCGTAATTACAAAATCATTGATGACACATAACATGCAATTTATAATTTACATCTTGAATAATTTTTACTTTTTCCAAAATCTGATTACGTTTTTCTATCGAATGTGTTGACTTTTCTGGAGGCATGCAGTTTCTAGTACAGTTGTTATTATTTTTTAAACATATTGTATTGACTAATCTTGCGGATCCAAATGGATTTTACATTTCATTAAGCAACATTCCATTTTAATGTTTCCTGCCAAGAAAAAATGTAAACGAAAATGAAATTTAGAAATAACATAATATAGGGAGCAGTGTGGCAGCATCGCCAAAGATAAAGACATCGGACTAGTTACTAGTTATAAGGATTGTTAGTCGCGTGTGCACGGGCAATTGTTATTTCCTTGAAGTTCAATTGACATCATATTTACGTACTAAGTGTTATACATGTATTTGGTTGTTTATTTTTCATAATTTACGGATTGAATTATCGGTTATTGCCCTAGTATTACCCTTACAAAGCCCGTATCACACAAATGTAATAGTTGCTTGTTGCTACCGTTATGCAGGTTCGACCTTAACCGGAAGTGACATACATATATCCGTGTGTAAATTATTGGTAGTTCATGATAACGATATTTTGCTGTCTTTCTTGTAATATGACTTTTATTTATTTGCATATTATGTTGGAACTTAATACAAAATTCACTGATGGTGATCCATTTGTAGTTTACATTTAGATGTTTAAAAAACAGCCACCGACAAAATCATTGTTTACATGCAAAACAGACCAAGTTCGTTATCTTGCAATTGCAAAGAAATAAAATTGAATTACTGTGTGTGTGTGCGTGTGTGTGTGTGTGCGTGCGTGCGTGTGCGTGTGCGTGTGTTGGTGTGCTTGCGCGTGTGTGAGGGCGTGCGTGTGTTGTTGTGTGCGTGTTAGCGTGCGTGTATGGGTGCAAATTAGCTAAAATTAGAGGAAATAATAAAATGGAAACTTATCACGACCAATTAACTTCATAAACATTTGTTTACGTTAAACAAGATAGCGAAAATCGAAATAAATCTCGCACAAAGGAGTGTAAGTCTGGCCGTGATAATATCCTATTTTGAGAGGTTCTTATACCTTTTTTTATATAAGTCTCTGACGAAATGTAGTAAATTGCATAATTTGTTGCAAAAAATATAGCCTATAGAATGTTGTTGTCTTCTTTTTTCCTTTATTTGTGTATTTGTTTACAATCCCGTTGAATAATTGAATGGCTATTTGTGTTAAGAAATCAACGGCGTTTAAGTTAGAGCACTAAAATATCGAAAGAAAATCTAAATTTTGTTTTTAAGTAATCTTCTTTTATAACAAAAGTTCGTTAAACACGCTGAATAACACACAACAATAGATATTTTTATGTATTAGCTAAAAAAAATTTCACACGGGTATAAAGGTCAACAAAAAATGGGTAGGGATATTTCTACGTCATCAAAGAAAAGGGCAGCGGAGCACATTAAGGAAAATGACTTTCTTAATCATGATGTTGTTGTTTTTCTCCCTATTTAAAACCATTCAAAGCACTTTATTGTTTCTTTGTAATATTCGTATCTAAAAGAAAAGCACATGCCTATTTTTGTCCACATACCTTTAAGCAAGAAAGTGTACTTTCACTCTTTGCTTTGAACTGGTCGCTTCTGGGAACCGATTCGAAAGTGTGTTGTAGGTTAATTACTTCTTACAAAACCAAACTCAAATAAAGTCTGTGTAAACTAAGAAACAATTGTATTCTTATGTTACCGGTATTATTAGACGAAAGAAATAAAACAAAAGTGCGGTATCGCCATTCCAAGCCACTCGCCTCCAGATGATAAAATGAAAAAAATATATTAAAGAAATTCAAGTAAACAGTAAATTATGATTTAGTAATTGGTAAATTGTGTAAATCAGTTATAACTGACATGTTAATTCAAGAAAAAATGTTGACAAAACCATCAATATAGCGTGATTTTTCTTGCATTATCTACTACGTTACTACATGTTCTTACCCTGTAGCCAATATAAAGGTCAGCCACTCACATTAACTTTACATAGACCAACATTATAAGAAATGACCCCAAAACAGACTTTAAAATTGAGCTTTCACCATAGAGATGCCATTTTTTTCTGTGAGTATGACATGCCTGATACATAAAACTCATTTCGTTATATAAAGGTAGCCGACCAAATTTTTCGTAAAAAGACTTCAAAGAGGATGACCACGCCACACCCGCTGTTCACTGTAATTTACTGCTGGTCACAGGACTGACTCTGTTCACTGTAATTCACTGCTGATCACAGGACTGACAGATACTTCTTTATAATGACAATATCAGAGTACACAGTGATCTTACAGATTTACAAAATACTTTTTTATTTCTTCAGAAAACAAGGTACTGTTAGTTTCGAAAATAGTTTTTATACTAAAACACAATACATTTTCATCCAATCACCTGATGTCCGATTGAATCTTACGATTTTAGCCAATCGCTGGCCATGTAACAATGCGATACCCTGACCTAAAAGCATTTTGTATTCGTACAATATAGAATTATTTTGTATTATTTAAAGAGAATAAAGTATATCAGATATAGATGCGTTCAATTTTTGTATTTCAAATAAATTTTAAGAAGATGTCACTTTAAGGCATGTAATGCCATTAAGCCTACAAAAAACTCTGCAAAGGGATGTTTAACAAATATTAATTACATGCAAATATTATTATATAAAAGTGACCCTCTTAACCTTTTACCCCGTGAGCATATCGAGGGCTGAAAGCGAAACTAGTGTAAGTGCATTTTCAAACATTTTACAGGAGAAGGAAATAACTGTTTAAATTTATTATTACTAAATATTTTAACTAAATACTACAATTATATGTGCAAATCAATTTTTTTTCACTACTTTTTGTTTTGATTTTCAGATTCAATCATCACAGATAAAAATATTATAATAAAGGTCACTTAGAACAGTTTCACGCTAAAAAAACTTTTTAAAATGTTTAAAAAATTAAATGTGAAAGGTGTGTAAGTGCAGTTATTCATGATTATTTTTTCAACTATTTATACCTCAGTTAATGTGGTTTTGGTTTTAAAGAGCTGTTTTTTAATGATATCCATCTTTTTTGTAAAATGTCAGTTACATTGTTTTCACATTTATAAATGCAGACATTTGAAAGTCTGTCATTGTCACTTACATAGTGGTAGGCTCAGCTCAACCAAAGTTCCAAAAGTTATCTATGGGGAATAATTGAAAGAATTAAATCTGGTGTTAAATTTTATTCAATGGGGTTTATTAGTGAAATAAAATCTGTATCACTCACAGTTTATCTCTGACATAGGGGAATATTGGTTTAGAAAGTAATTCGAACCACAATTTGGTTCCACATTGTCATGTTACTTTGTTTTATTACATGCTTTACGGTGGTTTATAGAAATATATCAGTGATATAAAACTGGTAATTTCACTGGTTCAAACAGTGAAATTACCACTTTGATAATTTCACTGTTTTGAATTTAAGCCCCTCACGTTGTTTCAGTGAAATACCAGCATGCACAGTACTGGGTACCAACTTAATGACGTGACGTCGTAAATGACGTCACGTTGTATTATTATTTGGCGCGCTTTTCATTCAGTATCTAAGGTTTAATGTCTTTTTAAAACGTTTCTTTGCATGTAAAAAAGGGAAAATTTGTTTAGTTTAGTGTAAGATCGAAATATATTTCACCTTGTGAACACCAAAAGTTCATATTTCACTCGTGGATGCGCCACTCGTTAAATATATCTTTTGGTGCTCACTTGGTGAAATATATTCCGATCTTACACTGAACTAAACAAATATCCTCTATATAATAACTACTTAAGTCTGTAAGAGGTTAAAAAGGCCTTGTGTTAAGCCAATTCCAGGTCTTCATAGATATGAACTATAAATACTTAAAAACATGCTATAGCATTTTTTGTAAGTCATGTTCTTATGGGATTTTTCAAACATTGGAAAACAATGTTATTTTAAATGTTTCATTTCAATTAAGCTTTAGTGAGAATTCATAATTTTGGCAAATTTAGTATGCAATTTATCTTTAAGTAAATCATACAATTATGACTTTCATTCACTAATGTAAAAACAGAAGTAAATTTAAATGCATCTGGACATGATGTCTACAGGGGTAATGTCTTCCCTACTTTTTTACGAAGATTACCTGGCCACCCACTCAGGTATTTTGAGAAATTCATACATTCATTACAGATACATTTGTTTGCTCAAATAACTTATCATAAATATTTCACACACAGGAGTCAATATGATTTTACAATGTTAATTTAATGTAAAGTATTTAATTACAAGTGATAAGGCTAATTCATTTGTGCCAAATGGCATTTTAAATGCATTGCTGTCACATACCATTGATCTGCACCGAAACAGTTAACTTTTGCATCACCATTTACATCATCATTTG